ACAATTATAAAAGCATGAACGGACTTTAACATATACAAAATAACAGAACAAACACAAAAGAAGTTAAACAATAACCTTGACTCACCTTGATTATTTCCATAAAGGAAGCGCTACATAAAGTTTAACAAAACGAGTTAAAAAAGTCATATGTAATACAATAGTATTTTTTAAAAATATTGTAGGTTAGGTTAAACCGCGAGATGTCTGTTTGAATAAATTAATTAAAACACATGTAAGACTATTATTAACTAAACAACACAAAATAGTTTTATGAACTTATTAACAATTAGTCTTGAACAAAACTTCTTCCTCTTTAATAATGAAATTTTTACACAGACAACAGGATTAGCTATGGGTTCGCCTTTATCTCCTATACTTGCAGACATCTTTATGCATAATTTTGAGAATAACAATATATTAAACAACAATCCTTTTTGCTCAGCTATTAAATTCTATCATAGATATGTTGATGACATACTGATACTATGGACTGGTGATCTGGATAAGTTAAATAACTTCCTAAATTATATAAACACCATACATAGTAACATCAAATTTACATTAGAGATAGAAAACAACAAATCTATCAACTTCCTTGATTTAACTATATCCCATTGTACAGATCTTAAGTTGGAATTTAACATATTTAGAAAACCTACTCACACAGGGGTTGTTATTGATAATTTATCCAATCACCCAGTTACACATAAGTTAGCAGCTTTTAATTGTTACTTGGAACGTCTTCTGAAAGTACCCCTATCAGTAGATAACTTTAATAAAGAACTCAATGTTATCAAACAAATCGCTAATAGTCACAATTATGATCAGAACTTAATAGATAAAATGCTTCATAGAAAACAGAATAAACGTAATCAGAACAATAGTTACATAATTGACCCCCTTCCCAATATTGAAGCAGATAATCGTAAGTATGTTTCACTTACTTTTATTGGAAAATTCTCATATCGTATAGCCAACTTGTTCAAAGATTCCTTCAGAATTAGCTTTAGAACGTCCAACTCCATCAGTAGCCTATTTGTTAGGAATAAGGATAAGATTGATCCTATGGATCAGTCTGGTGTTTACAAACTAACTTGTTTGAACTGTCCATGCTCATATGTGGGAAGGACCTTTCGTAATTTTAAAATACGCCTGAAAGAGCACACACGCTGTCTTAACACTAACACTACTGGTTTTTCTCACTTTGCTGCTCATTTGTTAGACACTGGTCACCATTTTGATTCTAGCATTGGCTTCGACATTTTGCATATGACTTCTAATAAATTCCTTCTGAATAACTTTGAGAACCTGGAAATTTTAAAAAATATTAAATCTGGCCCCTCCTGCTCTCTGAATGCACAAATTCAATTTATTAGTACCCCAACGTTCTCTGCGCTTATTTAAATTAATTTCAGACTTATACCCCCACTCATTTGATCTTCAATCAGTTACTTACCACAAATTAATTAACTCTCCCAATTTAGATTCTCTTCTCTGTTTCCATTAATTTTTTGCCCACTCGCATCTTATTAAATGTTTTATTAGTTTATTCAAATTCTCCCACGTGGTTGTCATACGCCAAAATTTGACTTTTCTTTTTGACATTCGTACTTGTCAACTTAGTTTCCGTTTCCTGTAACAGTAATTTTTCTTTTGATTATCTGCTTCAAATTTCCATTTTACATATGAATTTTCATATTTTCTTGTTCAGTGTTCTAATTTTCTTGTTAGTATTTTTTGCTTTCTCATTTCCCAGTTCAATATTTTTATTTTCAATAAATTCTGTCACCGCCCCCTATACTCACTTTCAGTAAATAACACCTTTGTTAGTACACTATTTATCCACTAAATTTAAAATTTATAGTTTACTACATTGATTCGTTAAAAAATCTAGATAGATGTCTTGAGTCTGATAATTTTTACTTTTTACTTTTATTAATTGACGTTATATCCTTAAAAAAATTTTAAACTGTTTGTGCTTGTAAAAACTATTTTGTGTCGTTTAGTTAATAATAGTCTTACATGTGTTTTAATTAATTTATTCAAACAGACATCTCGCGGTTTAACCTAACCTACAATATTTTTAAAAAATACTATTGTATTACATATGACTTTTTTAACTCGTTTTGTTAAACTTTATGTAGCGCTTCCTTTATGGAAATAGTCAAGGTGAGTCAAGGTTATTGTTTAACTTCTTTTGTGTTTGTTCTGTTATTTTGTATATGTTAAAGTCCGTTCATGCTTTTATAATTGTTTTTTTATTACAACTGACTCCTTGACATTCCATTTAGGTGTGCCTGATGATGAAGTGACAGCTTCGAAACTGGTCGCCAATTAAATTGACTTGTGAGAAATAAAGGACCTTTTCTTTAACCCTTACACTTAATAGTTATCTTTAATTTTTCCCAGGTACTTGTTTGACATTTTACTAGTCGCCAATTTTTTATTTATTTGTATGTCAGACATTAAATAAAAATAAAAATACCTTTATTTTAACTACAGAATACGCTCCTGAAGTTATGTACCGTAATTATCGAACACCCTGTATATAGAGAATTCAATGTGTTAGAGAGAGAGACGTCCCCGGTCGCAATGTGATCGAGAGAGATAGACGTGGCGCAGGTGAGTGACGTGACGTAGTGACGTATGATGTTAACATAGTAGAAGAGTGACGTAACAAAGTAGCGTAATGCGACCGAGAGAAACAGATGGCTAAGTGGCCTCGTGATGCTACATCTATCTCTCTCGATCGTTTTGCGGCCGGGACCTCTCTCTCTAACACCTTAAATTCCTTATATATATCGCGATACAAACTTTGTTTATCTACTTTTATACAACTTCTGATTGAAACTTATTTTCTTTATATGTACGTGTTAAACATATGTCCACTTGATAAATGGTTACAAAGCAATAAATAGTAGATAAGTTTAATATAAAATTGTGGCGATTTATTTTAAGTGCTGCAATAATTAGAAAAGTACATTTCCATTGTAGATAAATTCAAGTTTTCATGTAATATAAATAAATTAAAACGTACACTTTGGATCAATTACAAAGAAAAATGTTTAACAAATCTGCCGCATATGCAGAGATTACTTTAAATGTAACTTTCAAATATGAAATTTGTAAAGAGCCTTTAAAATACTTGGAAAATGATTTACTTTTGATATTTAAACCACGTTGTATTGATTTAAGTAAAAATTTCCTTCAAAACATATTCACATAAATAATGAAATATATCACACTTCATAATAATGTTTAGTTTTCCTGATACCTTGGTTTAAAATATGAAAAACAGAATTATATATATTTTGTTAATTATATAAATCGCGACATAGTTACAAATATTTTCCTTTGGATTGTTTTGTAATTTTTTTTTTTTTCGACGTTGTACATACAGGGTGGACCAATCTTGTGGAAAAGTTCGATATCTTCCTTGTTGAAAGAGATATTAAAAAAGTGTATTAAGAAAATTATGGACATGTTTGAGGTTAACATTTTAAAATTATTGGGAGGTATACAGGGTGTTGCATAGCTCGTGTACGAACCAAACATGTTTTTTTAATGATAACCCCAGTATATTATTTTAGATTCTGTTTACTCATCTTTTTTCCATTCTTCTAATATATGGTTTGTTTATGTTATATAGGGTTCTTTTCAAGGAATTGACATTTTTGTGAGAGAATCGTACATAATTCAACGTCCACAACCAATTACACATTATAGAAAAAAATATTTTTGATGTATTTTATAAAATTCGTGTGGGGGAAAAATTTTTTTTCTACAGTGTGTAATTGGCTGCTGGACGTTGAATTATGTACGATTCTCTCACAAAAATGTCAATTGCTTTGTGAAAGTCTTGTATTGTCCATCCCAAATTATGGACTTTTAATTTACTTGGATCAAATAACCAAATACAGACTTCAAAATATTCAAAATTGTTGTTGTCGTTTTGTATTTGGTATCAGAAAGTATGATAGAATATCAAATAAAATTAAAGAACAATATAGGAAATTTATTTAAATATCAGATGGTGGCCACGGTATTTCAAATTCTTTTAACCTCAACTCCCATATACTTAAAAAATAAATTGATATATCGGAAAGATCTGCACAGTTTACATTTAAGATATCCACACAACTTAACGATTCCGAATTACCGATTATCATTTTTCAAAAGATCTTTCACATATAACGCCATTTCAATATATAACAGTCTACCTAGGGAAATTAGGACATGTTCTTTGACATTTTTGAAACAAAATTATAAAACGTTGCTATTAGTTGAGCAATGAATACAGTGCTAACGTTAATATATTATTAATTTCAAACATTTTTCCTTATTTAATTGTATTTTAAGTTCCATTGATTTCAGTTTAGATTAAATACATGGTTAACATTTTTAATCATAAATTAATTGTATATTAAATTTATTATTTTTTTTATATTGTAAATGATGGATACCTTTTGATTATTTTAAATTTATATTTATGTTGAGGTTAAGTTGAGTAGCGCAAGCTAGACTTCGCCTCATGATGTTTATGTGCATTGTATATTACAAGCAAATAAAGGCAATTTATTATTATTATTATTATTAATTCCTTGAAAAGTACCCTATATAACATAGACAAACAATATATTAGAAGAATGGAAAAAAGATGAGTAAACAGAATCTAAAATAATATACTGGGGTTATCATTAAAAAAAACATATGTTTGGTTCGTACGCGAGCTATGCAACACCCTGTATACCTCCCAATAATTTTAAAATGTTAACCTCAAACCTGTTCATAATTTTCTTAATACACTTTTTTAATATCTCTTTCAACAAGGAAGATATCGAACTTTTCCACAATATTGGTCCACCCTGTATATTTGCCAGTTTAACTCAAAACAGCTCATTTAAATAAAGTGACTATATTAAAGAGTTGTTTGGAAGCAGCCAGGTATAATGAAAAAAATCCAGGGTCTGAATCAGTTTATAATATGTATTTTTTTGCAGGTGATAAATTTCGTCTCGTTCTGGCCACGACCTTAAGAGAAGATGGTTACGCAGATGGCGGAGACTGGAACCCCCAAGGTTTGGAAAACGAAGGTTCTAGAGCGGACAGTTTCGAATATGTAATGGCAGGAAAGGTTTACAGGATAGAAGGAGACGAAGCTGCCAATGAACCATCAAGCAGATTGTAAGTATTAAAAAAAAAATATTTATTTTAAATTTTTTTTAAAGGCCATACATAAACTTAGTAGGTATAAGACAACTTTTATATTTAAGAAACAGTGAAAATTTAGTTTTGAGTTCGAAAACTAATTAAAAAATGTATGAAAACTCAGAAATAGATTCTTAAACAAACCCATAAAAAATAAATAAAAAAGATACCGTTATGGAAACAAAACATAGAAAATGATGAATGGGGTAGAACTACTGAATTAAAAAAGGCTTCTAAGGGTAATACTCTTAGTTGAGTCATATAAACATTTTGAGAACAATTAAATAAACCACTTTTTGACTTTTAGTTCCGATTTTACACCTATTGTAGCTTGTATTTATTGTAAAACAGTTTATATATTTGAATTTATTTACAACTATATTCACTAAAATATTAACTAAATTTATTTGTACTCAAAACTAAGCTGATTTATATTTCGAACACTTATACTAATTTATATTAACAATACTTATTTTATCTTTACTACTCTGATATTTATCTTTAACTTAACTTCTCTCGACAAAGTCGCGTTATTTACATGAAAATTAAACGTATTAGACCTGGCTCGAAATCTTCTAGATGTTCTTGAAACCCTACGAGTCGGACTGTGCAAAAGAACATTCCAGTAACTTCTCGTAGGAGTTTGTTGGTTTTATTGAACCAGTAGCAGCGGATTACAGGCGAGCAATTGAATGGCGATAACATAAACAAAGATAGGACCGGACTGGTTGAAAATGGCTCGCACGACACTATTTTAAAAACTATTGTTCTTTAAATCCAAAAGAAGATTGCCATACTCTATTATAACTCGAGAACATTTCCGGCCGTCTTATAACATAAACCACTTCCAGGGCTATACATACGCAACGATTACAGTGTTATAAAACGTGTTCGCGACCGACTATCAATACAGCAAACCGTTTGATTTTGCGTTTAGGGAGCTAATATTCCACGACCGGTTTCGTTCTATTTGGAGCTCATCAGGTGAGAAGTAGTCAACTCGAGTTCTTCTTTTCGTTTTTGTTCTGGTTTCCCTAATTCAGGTAACTTTGACTCACTCAAGAATTGATGAACGTCTGCAGCCGTGGTAGGGAAAAAATATAAGGGATGGAGTAGACGATTTCGAATTCAAAAGTTCAAATTTTGTAGGTACGCTCTAATAGTTTAATTTTATGTTTTTTTTTTTCCAAATCTGTCTTATGGACAGAAATCCCCAAATATTTGGTCTTAATAAAACTGTTCTAGATAAGAGATTCAGTTCCATACAAAAATACATTCCGTTTATTCTTATACCTTATAACGTAAATATTGTTTTAAACTTGTTTTAAAGCAATTAAGCCTCCACATGTCTTGTCTCACGAACAACTTATGGGTGTTGCGTTTATAGTTTATTTGAAAACGCATGATATCACAGTTTTTATGGCAAAGGTCTATATACTGAATTTTATTAGATTTTAGTATGACCACCCCGAAAAATCTGGAATACAATACATCATAAAATATAAATGAGCAAACTCTTAATGATTAATCAATAATAAATGTACCACAGTGAAGAGAAACACGATTTTTAATATAAAAATAGTGTAGGAATTTTGACAATAAATATATGACGACACATTTCTAATGAGCAACCCGGGTATCCCGTTTTGCAACATTTGCGCGTCACAATCATTTTGGGACGTGGGAATACGGTCGCTAGGCAAGTTGTTGTTTTTTGGGCAGAAGTCAACGGAAAAAGTCATTCTTGTAATCTCAATTTTTTATATAAAAAAAACCTGTATTAGATAATAGAATAGTTGTAAAAGAATTGTTAATGTGTTCATGTTCCTGTTCATGGTAATATTATACGAATACAAAAGATCGCAGTTTTTTATATTGACGCAGATAGTGTTAAACTAAAAGATACTAGCTGTGGCCAGTCTAAGAATTAGCACTCGTGATGAGGATGTAGCCAGCAGCATCATCCCCATTCAAATAGTAAACTATCAATATTAAGTACCCACATTTATTTTTATAAAAATAGTATACTAGATATTAGGTTAGGACATTTCCTTAAAATTTAATAATAAATATATACACAACCAAATTTATATGATATACTAAAAAAATCTCTGCAAGAAATCTTTTCTTATAAAACGCCCATTTTCGTTTTTAGAAATACATATAAATTTGTTTTTTGTTTGTTTGTTTGTTTGTTTGTTTGTTTGTTTGTTTGTTTGTTTGTTTGTTTGTTTGTTTGTTTGTTTGTTTGTTTGTTTGTTTGTTTGTTTGTTTGTTTGTTTGTTTGTTTGTTTGTTTGTTTGTTTGTTTGTTTGTTTGTTTGTTTGTTTGTTTGTTTGTTTGTTTGTCGTTTGTTCGTTCGTTCGTTCGTTCGTTCGTTCGTTAGTTCGTTCGTTCGTTCGTTCGTTCGTTCGTTCGTTCGTTCGTTCGTTCGTTCGTTGGTTTGTTTGTTTGTATATTTATAAATGATTTGGCAATAATCTTAACATGCAATCACCTGTTGTTCGCTGACAACTTAAAAATATTTACCTCAATCTCATCTATTCAAGACTGCTACTATTTACAGACCCATCTGGGCATCGTTGAAAATTGGTGTAATGAAAACAAGCTGTTTATGAATGTGTCTAAATGTAGTCTTTTTCTATACTAGAAATATTAACAAGGTGGAGTTTGATTATTTATTTAATGGCCTACCTTTATCGACAAATTAAAGGTATATTATTCGACCAAAAAGTTACTTTTTCGGATCATATTGATAATACTGTTGCTTTTGCGTTGAAAAGCTTAGGGTTCTTAAATCGTAATACTCGTTCTTTTACAAACTCTCAAAGCTTGGAGATCTTTTAGTTTTCTTTAGTTCGTTCCAAGCTAGAATATGCATCTCTTATCTGGAACCCTATTTACAATATTCATAAACGCTGTTGCTAGGTACACGGTAAAGTGTACACAAATCAAAAAAATATATACACGCGAAACGTCATATTGCTGTGGTGGGAGGTGTTTGTGTGAATGCGTTTTGTTTGTTTTTATTTACGCCTTGACTAGCAGTAATATTTTATAAACCTTAGAAGCAAATTTCACATAAACAAATAATAATAATGCCGTGACAAAAAAAAAGGAAACAACGACCTCTCGTAGGGTGGCGGCTTCGCCGCCACCAGAAAATTTCAATCCATACCTAGCTACGCCGACCGACATAAACACCAACGGCCTAGACAAAGCTCACCTACTCTGTCAAGACGTTTCGCGTGTATATAACTTTTTGAATTACGTACAAGTTAGCGTGTACCTAGACACTGTGATTCATGAAAGATCATTGGAAAATGTTCAGCGGCGATTTCTCAAGTACCTTTCTTTTAAAATAGATCTCGTTTGAGGTATTGAACAATCTCTGCTGCTTTCGAGGTTCAGCATACCATCTTTGAAAAATAGAAGGGTAGTTTTCAGTTTGACATTTCTTTATAAAATATTACATAACACATTGATGTATCATTTTTGATAAAGCAAATAAATTTTAATATTCTCCAAACAGCCATTAGATATCATAAAACATTTTATACAGCAAGTTTTCTAACAAACTTTGAAAGAAATTCACCTATAACGCTAATGTGTTCAAATTTTAATCAATATGGTTATGTCTGGGAAAAATATTAAGTACCATTGCTAGCTAATGTATTTAGGCTTCTTTCTTTTTTTTCTTGCTGTAAATTATTTTCTGTCAAAATATTATGATATTTATTACTTTAATTTTATTTATTTATTTATTTATTTTATTTCGGGTCTAGTGTCATATAATTATCACAATTACATACTTAAATAAATAAGTCGTTTTCTCCCGATAAGGAGTCATCATCATCATCAGTTTCCTCTATTAACATATCAAGTTTCTACAATTTCTCTTCCTCTGCTATGACATGTCTTATACAGGGTTATCAACCGTCCGTCATTATGACGGACAGTCCAGCATTTAAATAGTGTGTCCGTCAATCCGTCAAAGCATAGTTAATGACCGTCCAGGTCGCCCAGAGTATTTGCTCTGCTGTATGATGTGCTGTACTGTGAACGGAGTGTGTTTGTGTTTATTATTGACTTTTAAAATGGGTGATTCCCAAAACAGTGGCAGCAGTGATACACATAAAAAGAAAACCCTGATAAAAAAGCTAGTCGACTTTGTTATTTTATTTTTAATTTTCTTTTTTTTTGTCAGTTCATTTTTTTTTGTAGTTCACTTTATTTTTATGTTTTTTCTGTTGGATAGGTATTCTTTTTTCGTACCTTAAATAAAAACTTTGCGATTACCTAATTATTTGTAAAAACAGCTCAGACTATCTTCACCAAAGTTTTGATTAAAAAAATGAAAATAGACTTTATTTCTTCTAAAATCCCCTGTCTGTTCATCATATCTGTTTCAAAAACCTGGTAACTCTGGTCTTATAGCGTTTTGCCAATTATTGTCCGGTGAAATTTTTGATATGGAATCACATAATAGTTGACGAACATTTTGAAGTATAAATGTATTGTTTCTCGCAACATATCCCATCATTATTTGAGCCCAGATTAGTTCAATGGATTAAGTTTACAGTAATGAGGTGGTAACCGCAACACATTAACTCCATGTTCTTTGCTATTTCATCCACACTATACTCTTAAATTTTGGTGAATGTTGTTTACATAATTTAAATAGCTCTTCTTTGAGTAATTCCTCTTCTGCCACTATTTCTTTGGTTATTAGCCAATCGGAGAGTTCTTACTTTTTATATTTAGTGTTAGGTAACGGGTTTCTAGATTTACGAGATTTACGAAACATACATTTTTTAAAACAAAGTAGGTCTTTCTTAGGGCGAGCTTTTAAAAGAAAAAAACAAGTTTAGTGTTTAGTTTCCTCACGGCTCCCCTATTTAGTCTATACTGCTCCCCAGGCTGAACACTTTAGGAACCAATGCTCTATCAAAAAAAATCGTTCTCATACCTTTTGA